AGTCCTCAATTTGATTTGACCTTCACGACTTTAGAACCGCTGAGGGGAGTTTAAAACAAAAGAGATTTTCAATTTCTTCGAAGGCAGTTAAGCGCGTACATTTGAAGTTCAACAATGCAAATGATATTGCTAATATTTCAAATGCAAAAAAAACACACACAAGAACTGCTTAAAACAAGATAAATTAGGAACAAAACAAAGAGAGGAGAATGAAGCAGTTGTCAGATGATTGTTTTGCTATATGACAGATGGAATGGGAAAGGATACGCAAAAGATTCTGCGTCTCATTAGTGTGCAAATGTGTTTTGCTTGCCTCCAAAAGCCTGCGCAACAAAATGGGAGCATAGAGTTGGTGTAAAATTGCCTCTACTCACTCCATTTGTTGGCACAGGTTCTTGTTAGGCTTTGGACATCTTCAAGTGAGAAAGGACGCGATGGCGCAGAGGAGGAGAGAAGAAAGGACTAAGCAAACATACCGAAGTCATTTACATGGAAGAGTCGCGAAGTACAATTTTATCAGTACCCGCGTTTTTCTACACTGGATCAGCTCACGAAGTAACGAGGTGTTATTTTCACAGGTGCAGGAACACTTTGGACTTCTTTAAAATGCAATTTAACCTCCTCATCAACGTTTCTTCAGACGCCGAAATAAAGCGAGTTGACTGGAGCGGCAAAACCACAATGAGAACTAAAGTGGTTTTCCTCTTTGTGGCAATTAAAATCACAAAGTGGCAACCTTATGCGAATGGTATCGAAGTTCCATCCATTCTACCCATGCAAGCAGATTCATCTCCCACTCCAGAAGTCAAACCCAACCCCTTTCATTCCCACCATGGTTTGCAGAAAAGAAATTCACTTCCAACGCGAGTAAATGTTGGTTTTGGAAGATTTGTCAGCACTCTAGAGCGCGGCGAGATGGAGAGTGAACATTTTGCCCTTTCCAAATACTCTTCCAGCCACTGCCATATGCTCCAGACGTACTGGATTGTTCTACTTTACCCAGCTTTTCTTATGCTTAATTTAGCCAAATGGGAGGAATGGGAGGAGGAGGAGGAAGAAGAAGAAGAAGAGACGAAAGAAGATGCCGTCTTTCACAAGACTGCGTCGCGACCGTAGCACAAGCATCACTCTTTTTAGAGTTGGAAGGGCAAAGAATGAGCTGCCTACTTCTCTAACCATTGTTGTAAACAAATAAAAACGTAAGACGTCTTCTTTAACAAACAATGAAGGCAATGAACACTTCATTAGTGCGTAATACCACCCTTCGTTGTTTGAAGTATGCCTGTGCCTTCTTACCTGTTTTGCTGCCAAATGGAATTTTACGCTTTTAAGGGGCAGAATATGGTAAGTTGAGGTGGAAAAAGGCGGTTAGCTGAAAGACTTCGAGCTTTAGCCTCCGTCGCCTCATTCTAAACTTACTTCAAGAGCAAAAAAATGAAAGTTTTGCCCCACCTTCCTCAAAGGAGGCCTTTTTTGGCTGTTGAGCTACACTTTCCCTCGGCTTTAGTGGCAATGAGGCGGCTTGGTGGCCCACCACGAAGTCAAAGGTGGCGGGTCAGCCTTTGCAACAAAGATCTGCGGCTACTTTTGACGTGCGATTGAATGATAAAACACAACTCTCTTTCACTTTACTGACCTAAGTAAGTGATGTTAATGTTGAAGTGGTTTTACGGCTTCCCTACAGCTTCAAATGCCTGATTGGCCGGCCATAGTAAATAGAGGAACTAAGAACTCCTCCCAGTCAAGGGTTTGGGCGGTCCGTTGAACGCCTCTAACTCACAATGACCTTCTATACTTCGTCTTACTAGATCGAGTTCGAATTACTGCAAAG